CTTTTCAAGGAAAATATAGCTTTTAAATATGACAGATAATAGATCTGCAGAATAGATGACATATGTTTATCAAAACAGTCCACTTCCCAATTCCTCAGCATGCTTCAATTTTCCACTGTATGAGGAGGATTTTTTTTTTCAAAAAAAAAAAAAAAATTTACTGGAGAATGAAGAATGGTGCAGTGGATGTGGATAGTTATAAAAATTCATCATCTTATCAAAGGTAGATACAAGAAAATAACCAGAGAAGAGGCAAACAAAGTAAGTAAATGGTAGACAAATTCCATAAAGCACACCTCTTTCAACATCTGAGCTTGTTTGCCAAAGTCATCACTGAAAGGATAACGGTTAGCTCCAAATGCTTCACATATCTTAAGAATTTTGTTTTTTGCTCTTTCTCCAGAATAGAATATTACAAAGACATTTTTCTCAACCTGAAAATTAGAATCCAAAAATTAGTAAAAGAGCCAGACTAATAATCACTATGGTTGAAACTTGAAATGGCTCCACACAAACAAAAAACCCAGCCTACAAGCAATGGACATTGAATTACAATACAATCCACCTTCTATCACCCACATGCTGAAGTACTTGAGTAAATTGTAGACAAAATGGGTAATTCTAGTTTTTCAGTTTCTCATATATTTCAGTAAATTACTATTGACAAATTCCTCATCAAGCCCTTTAAGCCATAAGTAAGAATAAAATACAATTATAATCCTAGTAGAAAAGGTACCGCAAATAATTACAATTTTAAGACTTCAAGATCTTTACAAAAATAAAATTGAAGATGATACAGAAAGCTTTATTGCTATTCAAGCACACTCACCCTAGAAATACAGTGCCGGACTTACTGGTTTGGCAAAGTAAACAGTCCTAGCCACTAGTACGAAGGAATTAAACTAATACCAGGTTACTGACTCTTGGCTGAAAAGCTATATGCTGCATTTAAGGTGGAAGAGTCCAGGTAACAAAGTCATCTTCAGAGAAAAGTTAATTTAATAATTTATTCCAGATTAGTTTGGGAATAAATGCAACTTTGCACACATTACCTATTACCCATGGCCATTGATAGTATCAAAGGATTACCCTTGATACTACTCTGCATATAAAAATCAGGTATTTAAGAGGAAACAATGACCAAAAAACCAGTCATCAGCTGAGAGAACTACAAAAATAATATATACATAAACAACATTTCCTTTTCAATCCAAAACCACATCGGTTATAAGTTCAAATTTATACACCTGTCAAAACTAGGAGGTAGAGCTGAAAAGATGCAACGTGGAGGAAAGAAAGAAGGGGTGAATGATAAAGGACTGGTTCAAAATTAAACTTGATAAGGAAGAAAAATTCTTCCAAAGCATTAAAAATAATGCATGGAAAGGATAATAGGTGAACCTTCTCTCCAGAAGCAGGATCAATCACTGGATTCTCTACTGTAGTCTGCCTAACGAAAACATTGCCCCTAGTAGCACGAAACAAGATCCTTTCAAATGGCATAGATTTCTCCCTGGGTACAAGGCCAGTAAAGAACCCCAGCTGCACCTGCTTTGATGGATCACCCGATTTGTCCTGAACACAAGTCCATCAAAAAATTATTCTAGAGAAAATAAAAGCAGGTAAACAGGGTAAATACAATCAAAACAGATGATCAAATCAAGCTTACTTGATCCATCAGTAAAGGTGTGTCCAAGGACTCTTCAGTTTGCTGTGCTTCTATTTCTCTCTGCTGAGCAGCCGCAGTTCTTTGAGCTGAATGGAAGAATTCATCGGCCTGAACAGAAATAAAAGAAAGCCATTTTCAATATGATCTGACCAATCAAAATAATTCATGCATAATTAATTACACTATGTATCTTGATATTGCAACTTGGTCTTTGAAATATGTTCCTAAAGATTATGCACTCCAATGTAAGAAAGAATGAGACACTAAAATTAATTTTTGCCACCCAACTACTTCTTTCAGAGCTACAGGAATATGGGATGGGTGCCTGAGGTTGTTCAGCTATAGCTAAATCAACACCCTAATATCTAAAAGTCTTAGTATTCAACTGCTTCACCATGTTGGATGATTATATATTTAATATGAAGGGGGGCTAATATGGACAGGTCCAATGATGAAGAGCTTCAAAGAAGAATGAATAGCTTGCCTTCTGTAGAACAAGTTTATATTCAACAAGTTCATTATAAGTACGCTGTAACTTTCCATTGTTTGCATTCATCTCAATAAGCTCAGCTTCCAGCTCTCCAAGTTTCACCTGAATAAACACGAAACCGCATGTCACTAAGTCAGTAAACCATATTTAATTTTAATTCCCTTCAAACACAAAATTTATAAAGAATCTGGATGTGAATAATGACAAGCAAAATGAAAAAGGAGAAACATACCTCCAAATCATCCACTTTGATATCATTCGTCGAGAAAGACTTCGGTGGAGTTGAAATGCCAGCATTGGCCATTTGTTCCCTGAAATATCGCAATCTACGTGCCATCTCTCCACATTTTTTAATCTTCAGAGAGAATTACAAAACCAAGTCAACCAAATTGCAAAAAAATACATTGAATAAAGCACATTTGAGACTTTCTAATTTAGTAATTTTTAAACTTTGAATACAATGGAAAAAATCAACTGCTCACTTAGATGTCCCTGAATTATTTTTCTGTGAAGTATTAGATCAATCGGTTGCCTTTTGGACCTTACCAAAGACAAATATTTTTACAACTGTAGAGGTAAGGCTAAAAGAGCTTCAATGCATCGCACAAGTGAGGCTATGAACAAATCACGTCTTAAGCTCTTTTCAGGGATTACTATTGAAGGAGAATGATTTACTTTAAAATCATTCAAACCAAGGAACACCACAGGAAATGCATTGTACTAAGATTATTTTAAGAAGTATAGACAACAGTTCAAGGCTGTCCTTTTACTTAAGCTAGAAGATGTCAAAATATGGTAATCACAATTCCATGTATGAAAAGAGTCAACAAGTAAGCCTTCATCAATTAACTGTTACAAGGACTAGTTGCTATTCAGCTGATACGCCCTCATTGAACAAAAGGATCCAAATCCACAGTCAACAAACTGAAAATTGAGATTGGGCATAAAGAGCCAAGGAGGACTTGTAATGCTGAGTTTAACTTATTTAAGTACTAAACACGTGCAAGCTGTCAAATATTTTAAGTGTATCCAATCCGTTGAGGTGAATGATGAAGTGGGATATGTTCAACCAATAAACACTACAACGCAAGTTTGCAACATGATTAAGGATGAACAAAGTAGGGCCTAGAAAGACATTTTGAATACTTGAGGCCAATTTGAAGATAAATAAATGGCGTAATTATATTTCAACATACCTGATTTGCATAAGTTCGCTGGAAAGGACTCTTATCTGAATTCAACTGGAAAAAAGAAAAAAAAGGATGTCAGAAAAGTATATATCACACAGTTACAATCACACGATGCCTCTTACAAACAAGGTGAAAGCAGAAAAGTTTGGAGAGAATAACAAATAGAAAAACAGCACAATTAGACAAACATGATGTTGAACAAACATCACAAGCCTAAAAATTATTACCAACACATTTCTACAAGCTAGGTACATTAGCTCTTAATTTCAAGTGTATAAGTGTCATGAAGCCATGATGTTCAAGGCAGTAGCTGTTACTATATCGACCATACATCACAATCTCTTTCCATTATTCCAAGGTCAAAGATACTGGCACATCAATCCATATAATTTCTCCACACATTAAACTCTTCCCTTCAATATCACAAGTTTTACAACACCTTAAGAGGCTATCATCTCACAAGTGCCAAGCACATAACCTCAACATACCTCAGCGCCCAAAGTACCTTCGCAGCCAACAGGTAAGCTACTCCATTTACAAAAAAACACTTCTTTCATGGATAAAATTAATATTATAAGTATCAAATATCCACAACGCGACACAATGCATTGTCAAAGCCAACTTCTATCCGTTGCCTTTCTAAATCATCAAAAATCTAAATACTTTAAAATAGCCAGCACATCAGTCCATACACTCCAACATACATCAAACTCTTCCCTTACCACCACAACACCTCAAAAAGCTTTCATCTACCAAGTACTAATCACATAAAGTCGAACCTCGGCATACCTCAGCACTCAAAGCACCTTTCGCAGCAAACAAGTTATCAACTTTACACACAAAAAACCTTTCTTTCAAGAATCATTCCATGTCAAAGTATCAATCTCATCAACGCAACACATTGCATTAATCAAACTCAGCTTCACTCCGTTGACTTCAAAAACCTAAAGACTTAAAAGTTAAAAACTTTAAATCACAAAAGCATCACAAACCACAAATAAAAAACTCCAGAAACAATTCCGCAACAAAAAGTAGCAAAATTCAGAGCAGCAACAAACGATGATCAAAATAACCACAAAAACCCTAATCATCAAAATTCCAGAAAAAGACAAAATATGATCCAATCAACAATCAGATACCAAAATTCCAATCAAAATTCAACATCTCACAACAATCAATAATCAGGAATTCCGATAAACAATTAAGCAATAAAATCAAAACAAAAAAATCAATGAATGAATGAATTTGAATTGGAACACGAACATCTTTGAATTGGAGAAGGCCGAGGTCACCGAGATAAGAGACGGTGAGATGAGAAGACTCAAGCGGAATGATGAGCTGCACCAATTGCATCTCTTCGGACCGCATCAGATCCATGGGAGGACAACATCCCACCATTGTTGTTGCTGCAACTTTCTCTCTCCTCGCTCGCTCGATGAGATTGCTTTCTCTCTCCTCCTCTCCCTGGTAATTTGTGATGTTTCCTCTGTTTGTCTTTGGCTAAGATATATGATGACAGTGTCACGGAATGAGGAGAGAGAAACTGTGAAATTTTTGTGTTTTTATTATTATAATATTAAATTTAATTAAATAATGATTCGATTGATTAATCTTCTACCACGTTCGTCTGACAGCCATAACCTGGTTTTATGTTTTCTTACCTTCTTCTTGTTTAGATTCCTCGTTAATTAAGATTAATTAAGGGTTACTGTCACTGTAAAATGTAACTTGTTGAGTTAATTATTTATGGGCAATGATTAAAAAGTGTTAAGCGGCTAGTAAATTTTCATTCATCTAATGAGAGTTGTCGACTACTGATAATCTTCACTTATGTGACTTGTGGTTTTGAGTTATAAATTTGTATTTTTTAAGAGAATAAGAAACATAAAGAGTACGGAGTATTTTGTTTAAAGTAGGTCAAAAAAGGTAACATAACTTAAGTTGAAAAGAATAAGAAACTTAAAGAGTATTTTTTATGGGGTCGGGGCAGTTTGTGTGAGAGGTTTTGGGGATCGATAGTGGGTCAGGTGGGGCGTTAAAGGGCCAGTCGGCCGATTGTTGGTAGTTAAGGTGGTGACCGGCTGTTTTCCGACGAGATAAGGAGAGGGGTTAGGGTTTGGTGGTGGTGGGTAGGTGGTTGGGAAATTTTTTGTTTTTTTTTTAAAATTTTTATGAATTAAGACAAATGTTCCAATCATATCATGACATGTGTCATGATTATTAAACCCTAATGACTAATGGAGTTAACAGCCGTTGGTCATTAATGATATTTGGTGAATTTTTAAAAAACTGGGTAGCATTTGGTGAATTTTGAAAAGTACAATGGCAATTGGTGAATTTTTAAAGTGTTTAATAACATTTGGTGAAATAGCCGAAAATAAAAAATATTTATATACACTCGTATGTAAGTTGCACCAAAGATATTTTTTACACGTCGGGTCCGGGTCCGGTATATTCACCAAGGGCAATAACGGCAGTTGCCAACCCGATTTTCTCCGCTCATCAATCAATTCATAGGGGACCAAAATCAACTGAACTCATCACCTTCCACGAGTATACTTTACAGATAAGATGTATTTACAGTAGAAAAACTAGAGTTACTTGTCTTCAAGCTATTCATCAATGGAGGTAACCACCATGTCTCAGGCTATGCAACTCCATGCTCAAGCACTCAAATCAGGCGCACAACCCCACCATCAAAATTACAGCAAGCTCTTCACTTTCTCTGCTCTTTCACCTTCAGGTGACCTCAATTATGCGCGCCTTATTCTTGATTGTCTTCCAACCCCAAATTCTTATTACTGGAACACCATGATTCGAGCTTACTGCGAAAGCTCAGACCCTTATCAATCAATCTTTCTTTTTCTTGCAATGCATAATGATCAATCTCATGGTTTCGTGCCGAAACCGGATAAATTTACTTACCCTTTTGTTTTGAAGGCTTGTGGTAGATTGAGGGATACCCAGTTGGGGAAACAGGTTCATTGTTTGATTTGTAAAATGGGGTTTGAGTCTGATAAATATGTTTGTAATTCTTTGATTCATATGTATGGGAAATGTAGTGATTTGGGGTGTGCACGTAAGGTGTTTGATAATATGCTTGAGAGAGATGTTGTTGCTTGGACGTCTATGATTGATGGGTTAGTTGATAATGGTAGAGCTGTCGAAGCGATTAGGTTGTTTGAGGAGATGGTGGAGTGTGGTGTGGAGCCTAATGATGCGACTATTGTGTCGGTTTTGAGGGGTTGTGCTGAGGCTGGGGCGTTCGAGGTTGGGAGAAGGGCTCATAGGATTGTTGAAGAACAGGGGATTGGTTTGATGGCTAATGTTAGTACTGCTTTGATTGATATGTATTGTAAATGTGGGTGTATTGATAGTGCTAGGGAAGTATTCGACAAGGTTTTGGATAAGGATGTGTGTGCTTGGACTGCCATGATTCATGGCCTTGCTAGTCACGGTATGATTAAGGAGGCTATTGATTCTTTTGAAGAAATGAAAAAATCGGGTGTAATGCCTGATGAGCAGACCATGACTGCTGTGCTAGCAGCATGTAGGAACGCGGGCTGGGTGACTGAAGCTTATCGTTACTTTGAAGAAATGAGAAAGAAATATGGAATCAAACCTAACCTTCAACATCATGGATGTATAGTGGACCTTTATGCGCGATCAGGACAGTTGGATGAGGCTGAAGATTTTATTAGGAAGATGCTGATTCGGCCTGATGCAGTGCTGTGGAGAACTGTCGTATGGGCATGTAAAATTCATGGAGATAATGATCGTGCAGAGCGTTTGATAAAGGAAATGAACGTATATTTTGATGACTGTGGGAGTTACGTACTTCTCAGTAATATTTACGCCTCTGCTGGAAAATGGCATGATAAGGCTATCTGTAGGGAAACAATGAGCAGACAAGGGCTTGTGAAAACACCAGGCTCAAGTAAGATTGAGGTTGATGGTAGTGTTCATGATTTCACTGCAGGGGATTCGAGTCACATTGAAGCACATAATATTTATAAGAAGTTGGAAGAGATATACGAGAGGTTAAGAGAAGAAGGATATAAACCTGAAATTTCAGAGGTCTTGCTAGAAGTTGATGATGATGAGAAGGCTACACAATTGCTTCATCATAGTGAGAAACTTGCTGTTGCCTTTGGACTGATGAAGATGAAACCAGGTTCCCAAATTAGAATTGTGAAGAATTTGCGATCTTGTGAAGATTGCCATTCTTTTATGAAATTGATTTCTAGAGTGTATGAAAGGGAAATAATAGTTAGAGATCGCATTCGTTTCCATCATTTTAGGAATGGGGTCTGCTCCTGTGGAGATTACTGGTGAACCTATCTCCAGCTACCCCCTTTCCACTTCTTTTTGTTGATGGAATGAATGTGCTAGGTCTTTGTTAGGCATTACACAATTTGTAATTATGTTGAGAAAAAGTAGAGGCATGTCTGAAAGATCTCATCATAATCCATCATATTTACAGGAAAGCAGGCCCGTCTGTTAAACACTATTACAACAAATCTTTACAAGACGCCTCTCGTTCCATATCTCCAGCAGCTTGTTTCTTTATTATCGTAGCTCATTCCTTAATTTCAGGTTTCATGGGAATTTTTCTTTTGATACTTTCAACCAGCATTTCTAACACAAGGACCAACTATCTAATGACAAGAACTGAAGAACTCAAATCACAAAAAATTGTCTAAGATCATGGCATTCATATAATAATAAGATCAATAACACTACAGATTTTGCTGGAACCTTACAGAGCGGTCTTTTTACAATGAACTATTATCACTGAAATTCATGAAACTTGTACATGCCAGGTTTTAGGGTGATACAGTTGGACTGTTTCTTGATGAATATTCTTTTGATTCAGAGGTTTGCTGCATTCCTCTTCTATATTCTCTTTACACTATCACCATGAACAGATACAAATCCCTCGCTTGCTAGAGTTGATAATGCATTCCGAACCTGTTACATTGGAGAGCAAACAAGTCAATATCAATCAAATAATAAACAAACAAATAAAAACCGATAGATGCTATAACTTACATCATTAAGGTGGAATTCAGCACCAGAACTCTGCTTCTTCAGCTCTTCAAGCAGCTGGCAGGTAAATACATCGAATTTCAGAATCAGACCTCAGAAATTTGATACACAGATTCTTCATGGGATCTAAATATAAATTGTTACCTCTAATGTGCGTATTGATGGTCCGCCAAGTTGCATTTTGTCCATAATTACATTGCGGGTTGCAGACAGCACTTGTTCACGTCTTATCCTTTCACTTGCTGATATCCCAGTTGTAATTAGATCCATATCTATGGTTCCTGAGAGGAAGTAATTCAAAATGTGAGATTTGAGTACTCGCAGCAAAAGTTAATGCTGGAGATGGAGTGCTGGACAAGGTATATGAACTAATATAGAACTAAGACAGCACAACGAAAATAAGTTTGTTAATTGCTATACATAGTTCAAAACAATAGCTGTTCATATTCCCTCTATTACCACGAGAGTCCATTTATTGTAGGATATAGATAGAGAAAAGTACTCCATCTGAAATTAAATATTTGAGGATAAAAAATCTGCAACTACTTAAAATGGCAATTTTTCGGGTGTAATCATGTATTGTTCAAAATTGAGAGAGGTTTGGGGCTTGGGACTTGGGACAACAAGGCAACTAACACCAGATATTAACAGGTTAATGTGTGAAACGGTCTATTTCTCCACCAATGATGACACACATACAAAAGAATGGTATAATCATGTATTGTACGTAATTAATAGTCTTGACTCTTGAGAAATGGTGCATTTTGCATTTTAAAGATAAGACTCTAACTAAAGAGTAAAAGATGGATATTGCGGTTGACAAGAACAAGTATCTGCAGTCATCCTTGCTGTTCTGTAAAAGTTAAATACGTAGTATACAATTGAATATGCATTTACCTGTAGAATGATCAGTTGCTGATTGTTGCATTGCAACTTCTAGTAGCCGAATAGCTTCAGTCACATCTTGCTTCTCAACCTGAATGTACCAAGATATTAAATAAATACAAGTCCCTCTCCAATAGCACCATGTTAAATACAAGTCCCTCTCCAATAACACCGTGTTATGTCAATTCATGATAGTCTTAAAATTTACTCACCCATTCAGAAAAACGCATCCGAGCCAATGCTTCACCAAGTCGTATTAAACTCTCAAGTTGCCTAGGGGTTGCAGTTATAACCTGATCATAATTGAAATTAAATAAATCATGGATTACATAAAACCACTTTTATGTCCCATGAAGCATTGAAACTAGAAGAATCTTTAAAAGCTGTAGAGGATTTTACTATACCTTCTTACTACTACCCGGAAAGTTTCCTTTCCTTCTCATCTCAACATATCCACGGATTAATTCTTCAGAAGCTTCATCAGAAAGCCGCGGATGAATATTTTTTCTTGCATAACTCACATAAGTAGTTAATGTCTGAAGGTCTAGAAAATCCTGCTGTATACTCTGCAGATTGTAATAGAAGACATTCAGACACGTGCTGAATGCAATAGAATGTTCTCTTGCAACAAAAAACAGAACTTGATCATACCTCTGGGTCTTCAAAGTGAAGAGCAACTATATGCTTTGCCAGACGCCTGTCTGTCTGTTCATCAGCTTTGTCAAGTATCAAATAAATCAAATCAAACCTGTAAAAAAAAAAATAAAAAAAAATTGAATTGATACACAAAAACATAGGGCTTCTACATTATCTTTAAAAATCCTTCTAAGCCTTCAGAGTGCAACCTAATATAGTTAAAACTATAATGTATGATATGCAGATAGACCACATTTGGGCATGTTAATGCCTATCCACTCAAGTTAGTATGCAGGATTACATGTATTATCACCTAAAGTGGTTAATAGGAGCATAGTTGTAAGGTTGATAGTATATTAGTAAACATAATGCGTGTTATGCAGGTGTGTATAATTACCTTGACAATAATGTAGGGGGAAGGTGTATGTTGTCAATAACAGACAAACGAGGATTGTAACGCGAACCACTGGGATTTGCACAAGCCAATACCGAGGTTCTAGCATTAAGGGAAGCAATGATTCCAGCCTTCGCAATTGAAACTGTTTGTTGTTCCATCACCTAAGTTGTGTTGAATTCAGAACCAGAAGTTAGGGATCACACAATTGCACTAAAATAAACTAATGCAATAGGAAGAGAAAATGTGAGAGCTGAGAGCTTCTTTTGGATTATATCAAAAGCTTGGCATGATGTAAAATTGACACAGCTATTGCAAGATGATCTCAAAGCAGCATGATTGGTGATGAACTCTTACCTCGTGTAACATGCTTCGTGCACTGTCAGACATTTTGTCAAATTCATCAATGCAACATATGCCTCTATCACTTAGAACAAGGGCTCCACTCTCCAAAACCTGAATTCACAAAACATATAACATGAAGGATATGTTACATAACCCATATGGCATTACTTATACTAATGGAAGCAGTGATTCAAACAAATCATAAAATAAGTACTATCTTACGGTTTCCCCTGTTTCAGGATCTTTGGCAACATAAGCAGTCAATCCAACAGCTGAACTTCCTCTACCACTTGTATATATCCCGCGAGGAGATAGCTTATGGATATACTGAAGCAGTTGTGACTTGCTTGTTCCAGGATCACCAACAAGAAGAATGTTGATGTCACCACGAAAATTAGCTCCAGCCGCCAGCTTCAAGTGACTACCACCAAACAGCTACAGATTGGAAAATGTAGCAGCATAAGAATCAATCCACTAAGAATTCAACTATTCAGTTTGATTGGATGAGTAATTCTGTATACCTGACAAAGAAGGCCTTTTTTGACATCATCAAGCTCCCAAATATTTGGTGCCAATGACCTTGTTAGCCGATCATATATGTCAGGCAGCTTTGACAGCTCCTTCAATTTCTCCACCTAAAGACAGGAAGTGCATTGTCAGCCAAAAGATTCCAATAAATTGAAATTGATATGAGGTTTGAGAGACAGTAACGTTCAGTTACCTTCTTTTGATAGTCGACATTCATATCTTCTTCGTTATTGCTTGAGCCCATATCTATCTCCATGGGGTCTTCATTCTGCATCCTTGACTTATCGGTTTTCTTTATGTGGAGACAATCAATATAAGTCTGCCAAAAAAAAAGGTACCGTCAAGTTAAGAGATGGCCTCTTTGTGTCTCAAAAAATACAAGGATGCAAGAGCTAGATACATGCCTTGAACAATGACTTCACATTTCTTTGTGTAGGTCCAACTCTGACACTCATTGCCCTATAAATTCCAGTGACCTAGAACACACAAAGACCGCAATTTAACATGTGATAAGAGTTTGTAATGGAAAGTCACCCTCTGATATAACTGCTCACCTCAACCCGGTCACCTGGCTTTGCTGAATCCACCAATTTATCGTGCAACAACAAGCTCACTGTGTGAGGTGTCCCTCCGTCAGGAATCTCATCTGGTGTCTCTTGGAGCCGCACAATCTGCTTATCAGCAAACCTGATGGAAAATCACAGTAAGCCTAGTTTTAGCAGAAGCTGCATTATAAATTACTACAGCTAGCTCAGCATTCTTGACTGATTGGTATTTTTTACACCCTTTCTTAAAAATAAATTCCACCACAACACTATTGTTAAGCTAAAATTGAAGTGTAAAATGGAGCATCTATTCACATGCCCTACGACATATTCTTAACATAATCAAATATTAAGACAACATTCTTCCCGAGTTCCTGAAAGAAAAGATTCAAAACTATGCTACTTTGCTCTTCCACACTGACTTTAATTCATGTGTCTAACTTAAATATCAAGATACCATTTGACCCTCAAACTTTGTCTGAACGACATTGTCAAAATCCGAGGATGAAGTATGTTGGAATTCTAAATATATGATAAACGGTTAGCAAAAAAAAGGTTTAAGCATCAACAGCTAAAGCAGAAATCCTCCTTTGACACTAGTTCTGATAACCACTACATCAGTACATTTCCTTAAGCTCTATAATCATCATTGTAATGGCATTTGTAGTTTTGTACTATATTAAGGGAAATTATACATATAATGAAGTACAAAATATCAGAACTAGCAGCATTACACAGTTTTACAAAGAGTTAGATTGATATACCTGCATCTATTGTGAACAAGTGACATAGAATTCTTTGCCTTGCATTCTTCCCTAAAACAGGCTGGAGGCTCACTAACTCTTCCTGTTAACGTTGCAAATAATTAAAAGCACTTCAGCAAAAAAAGCCTCAACTTAACACTTGCATAAATACAACAAAATGAGCAAATTAAGAAGATGTACCTCGGTCTACAACAAGGGAGTCAGTGAAATAACCACACACAAGACACCTGAAAACCGCTTCTCGAATATTGGGTATAACTGAACTGCATCTAATAACCATTCCCTTCAAAGATACCATCTTCTCAATATCTATCATATATCAAAAACAAATACACCCATTTCACAATCATTCTCAATTAAAAAATGGCTAACATCAAAAACACATGATTAAAGCTAGTTTTAGAGAAAACAAAAGGTTTACCAGAAGGATTCAAATTCCTCATACAACTAGAAACTTTAAGATTAAAGATCCTAGCTTGAACATGCTTCTCAAAAAGGGGCTTAATCTTGGCAACAATATCCATCAAAACGATATCGAAAATCGCCAAAACTTCAAGAGGATACCTCACCATTTTATTATACAAATCAGGATCATAATCAAACACATGGTGTGCATCAACATCAAGCCAATCACCTTCAATCTCAATCACTCGTCGAATCGATCTCATATACTTCCCTTCCAACTCACCACTCTCAAAATCAATAGATTCATCCCTAAAATTCCTCAAAAACCTAAGAATTGCACCATTAACATCCTGAACACTAATATTAGTCCCCCAAACATACATTGGAGGAGCATCATCACCATCAAACCCCTCCCCAGCTTCGGAAGATGTCGGGGTGGGGGCAACGGGTGTCGAAGGAGTTGGGTCTCGCCGCGGTCCGCCTCTTCGGCGGGACCCAGTAGAAGAAGGGGTTCTAGCCTCATTTGAAGGGTTTAGCCTTGACCGAAGTGGAGTTGAGGTGTTCGACGAAGTGGGTCTTTGGCTCCGGCGAGTTTGCCGACCTCCGCCGCTTCCGCCTCCGTCGCCGGGAGAAGAGAAAGTGTTTCCGATTGGACTAGATGCGAAATCATCTGGGGAAGAAGGACCTGCAAAAAAATTGTGGAAAAATTTAGGTTAAATTGAAATTGAATGAATCTATGGAATGGGTTTTTGAGAAAGAGGAGGGAGAAAGAGAGGGTTACCTCCATTGATGTTGCCAGGAGAAGAATCGGACGCCATTGATGAGGGTTTAGGAGAGAGAAAATGAGGTTTTGGGGTTTTTTTTGGGAGAAATTGGGGAAAGTGAGTGAATGAGTGTTGTTTTGGGGGATTGAGTTGGCGGGAAATGAGTGTAGTTCCCGCCAGAATTGGTTAGTGGGTTTAGGTTAAAACGGAAAATGTGAGTGGCTGATTTTTATGGGCTTTGTATTGTGGGCTTTATGGTACTTAATTGATGGGCTAATAATATTTTTAGCCTTTTGTTTTGGGCTAGAGTTGATTTTAAGTGATTTAGCCATTTAGAACTTTTAGGTCCAAATGCCAACATTCAAGAGTCAAGACTAAAGGTTTGTTCTAATTTATTGAAATGAATTGTTTATGAGAGAAGGAAATTAGCAACTGAATTGAATTAAGGTGAAAAGAACATACCTTAAGTTCAAAAGTTAATTAGGTTTTAAACTTTTTAGCTTGGTTAATGCTTTTTTTTTTCCCATTGTTTGTTTGAAGTTACCATCTCTCTAGTGAATTATGCTCGTTGTATCTTCTAAAGTACAACCAATTATGGAGTTTGTGCATTTGAAATTAATTTTTCTCATTTGCATTGTTGTGCTCATACATGTAAGTGAGTTTGCTTATTGTGTAAATGTTGAATTAGACAATTAAGTGAAAGAAAGGTTATGCTTGTACTGTGTATATGAGCACACTTTCCGCATCATAAGCAACACAAAAGATCAATAAGTTGTACGATTTTGTTGTCTATGTTATTAATTTTTTTGTTGCTTGTCACAACTATCGGATTATTTCTTGGGAACTAAATTAAGTGTTTCCTTGTTTCATATAAAGAGAAATCGACCGGCCTTTGTTCTATTGATGGTTACGACAAGCTCTCATGTTTGCAACCTATAAAGTATGTTGGATCAACCCAATCATATAAATCTTCATGTCTTTGGTTCCTATTTTATCATTACATTCTCTTCATAATTTCTATTGTTGACTAGTGTTACAACTTGGGTAACACAACATTGCCAATTAATAGCATAGTGTCTAATTTCACACCCATCTTAGAAAGAACCTTTCTTACTTGCTTAGTTGCTTGCTACAAATGACATCTCTAGGTTTTAACTCATCATCCACTTCCATTTTAAAATTGTTCGTAGGATTCTTACTTGCTTAATCATCTTCGCTATTGTTACCTTTATAGGTAATCATCACAAATATTAGTATAGCTAACTAATCATCACAATTTATTAGAATTGCATGTCTCATTTTTCCTACCACATACTATTTTTTTGAGCAAGTAAATCAACATTGATATCATTAGCTTTAGTGCTTTACATAAAATCATGATGACTGTTATATAAATCGCAATCTGCGCATTCCATAAAAAAGATGAAAAGATTTAAGGAAGATCGATTGGTGTAACTCCTTGTTAAGGCCCCTACCTTCATGGAATATGAATTCAACTGTATTTGAACAGCAGAACGAATAAACCTTTGAATTTACAGATTCTCATAATTATTACACTTGCTTCCTCTTTCGTTTTTACTGGCCCCTGTTTTTAAGCCACCAATTCATCAATAGTTTCAAGCTTAGATATCTTTTTTCCCTCACTTTTTATAATTACCATTTTACCATATATAACCTTTCCATTTGAAGTACTCGGTCTCTTGACTCTTCCTAAGTAAATGATTTATCATTGCTAATTTTCGTCCTTCTAAACAATGAAAAATAAAAAAGTTCGCTGTCAATACAAATGAAGCCTAATGCACAACACTTTGATTTTTACACTACTCATATACTATGTTTGACTTAATTTTTTCACCTCTATAAAATAAATAAATGTTATTATATATTAGATTAGTCATAATGTCTAATTTTATAATATAATTTTGTTACAACTTTTACTAATAGACAAGTAAAGATATTAATGTTCAAAATTGTGTCCCGACAAATATATCAGTCAAATTAATACATATAAAAGAAAACAGAGAAAGTATTTATTTTTATATACTGTATTCATTTTTGTTCTGTTCAACTCATTTTTACATTCAATACAATTTAGATTTAGGACTAAAGTGACCTTGCTTTTTTGCACTTTGTTTCACAGTCTATAACAGTATTTGTATGCTTCTCCATATTCGAGTTGATCGAAGATAATTTGATTTTGCAGAATTCTCACTAAAGTGATTGGCTCAAAACTCAGGAACTAGGACCCTTGTTTTAAGGATACTTGCATGCTATAATTTGTTGTTCAATAAAGTTGATGTAAAATAGGTCCCATGCTCCATGACACTAATACAATTTATGTTTAATAAGTCAACTTAACGTATGAAAAATGGAGCATTATGTTGTATACACTTTTAATTGTTTTGTAATGCAGCCTAATAAAGTTTATAATTTAAAGGAACATTTTGTTTTGTACAAAAAAGGGGGAGAAATAGGGATGAAATGGTGCTTCAATGCTAGTACTTTTGGAGGTTTTGCATTATTTGTGCCTTTGAATTTAACATACACAATGAAGAGGCATAAAAGTCCAATATTTATATAGTACCTATCGATTTTTAACATTAGAAGAGTGAGCTTATAAAAGAATGTTCCTTTGAAAATAAAACTAGATAGAGGTTTTTATTGGTATTTCTATCTTATCAAATTTAAGATTTATAGTAGCTTTATTTAATAGCCCTAACATGATAAAAATTACCTATTTTTCCTATAATTGACATGATAATGACTCGTACGTCTTTTAAAATCGTAAAATGTGAATCCTTTGATACCTGATTTTTGGAATCAAAACCTATCTATATAAATGTTTGCCTTAGTTGTCCATTTGCTATCCAAAATTGGAAAGTAGACAACATATGTTAACAATCTTAACATACACAATCATGCTTGATTATATATGACACTTTATCATTACCTTTGTCCCATGTATAGTTATTTACTTCATTGGTTGTCTTATGATCTCTATTAGTAGTTATAAGTAAGTTTCCCTTCGTACTTACATAAAGTTATTTGCTAAGCTACATCGCATTACATACTTGACCACGGTATGTATTGAAGGGATTAACAATCATCTAAAAAAAAAACTTTTTTTTGATGATCCGTTAATTGTATAAGCATCCGTCATATACCCATTTAAGGAACTACATAAAACAAGACTTCTACTTCGTATCAAGATTTGCTATTTGGCTACACAAGAAGCCACTAGGCAACGCTATGATACAAAGATTACAATCGGCAACAAATTAAACCTAAAATCATGGATACTACCTCTTATAACTTTGCCACACGATAACTTAAATACGGTACTAATGATCCACAAGATATATGATTAACGCAATCATGGAATAATCACAAAGTTACCCAAGGGACCTAAAATTATACTAGTACAAACTAACATCCAAAATTCTATCAATTCAACATTTTCAGTACCCATGATTTCATGCACTCCACATACCAATTCCATAAAATGTGGAAGTGATATGATCACATTATATGCATGAAGTAATAAAACAAAGTGTAATAGAATGACACAAAATTTTAACTACTAAATCAGTAGATAATACCCAATAAATCAATATTCCTATGAATGACATTCAAAATGTTTGAGCCAATGAACAAACAGTATGCAACTTAATGTCCGGTAACATCATCATTCATCGTCAAAATCTGAAAAATTGATGCAGTACTGTAGAGTTGTAGTGTTCATAAATAGGTTTCTTTGCCTTTTCTCCCTAGTTTGCGGCTTAACACCAAAATAAGCACTTTTTTTTTTCTTTCTTTTTTTTTTAAAAAAAAAAAGAGCATAAGAAAGTGGCATATCAACATAATACAGATTTATTTACAGCATATTTCACTTAGCCAACACATAAAATACTTTTAAAAAAATAATACGTACTAAAACATATTATCTCTGTTTCATATTATTTGCAACGTTTAGACATTTTCCCTCTCTATTTTATGTCAAATCGTTGCAAATAATATGAAACGGAGGTAGTATATCATGAAAAAAAATAACACAAATGTATAAGGTGTAAGCATAAGACGTTGATATTTTATAAAATTTAATAAGTGGTATGGTGAAACCATAACTTTTTAAGTGGTTCGCTACAACTTAACAACATTGGTTATTAGCTAGCTAAGTAAACAATTATATCATATTATTTATTAGGTCGGAAAACCGATTTTTCCAAATTAAGTTCCTACAAGTATATATAAAATTAAGTACAATCCAAAAGACACATGAGTTTTTATTAATTAACACTCAAAATCTTGAATAAAAGCCTAGAATAGAAGCAACAAAGTAATGCATCAATACATTGCATGAAATAACGAATCATTTTTCGACATGAGCCTCAATTCTACACTTTGGTGTAAAATTTCTAGAACAAACATTAAAAACAAAAGCAATTATACATTTATTCCACATTCCATAAGATGAGTAATTAATCAAAGATTAAGAAAATGTCAACTAAAGTTATGAGTTTACATTAATGCACATCTTTTTAAGAGAAAGCTCCAAGAAGGCTCTTTAGTCTTTAGTATGGTGGAAATGCAAGAAAAAGAGAATGTATCTATCAAAAGACATAGTACAACTCATTGAGTTAGTGATATCCTCCTTTTAAGAAAGCATTAAGCACATTGTTTTGCTAAGATCAGGTGCTTTAAATGCATCATGAAACATCATCATCTATAATTAACAACTAATTAGGAAATTAAAGCTTAATCATGTCCACAATCGCCATAATCTAATTAAACTAATAACGACGTACTTCAATCAATCCCACAACCTTTTTCCTAATAAGGAAAAGGGATTTGTAAACTTTAATCAACAAGTAAAGGTCACTAAGGTAAGCATAAGATTAATAATATTAATTAGGTGAGTCGATATTTGAAAATGCACGCAAGAATTTTTTCAATCTTAAGTACAAAGGATATATTCCTTTAAAGGTATTTTGTGTCACTTAAGGGTATCAATCTTTTTATTTTCATAATTTAGTGTAATGTAAAGTCTCTTTATTGAAAGAGAATGCTTAATCTAGGGTTTATTTTAAAAAGTCTTTGTACTACCCAACAAAGTTACAAGATGCCCACTTATTCTTGCTTATTTTTGAGAATTTTAACTAAGTCACAAAAATATGTCCAAAACTTTAAGGGTGATACCTAAAAGAAATGCAATTATTCCTTGCTAACTTTCAGCATATGTAGTTTAAATAAAGTTATATTATGGCCCGGTTTCATGAAAGTTGCCTAACATAAAAGAAATTAAGGACTTAGTTGGGGGGACATAAAACAATACTCATCTTGTCATGTTTGAGCTATTTCAAATATGGCCAAAAATATGTGAGACATCCCTTCACACTATTAGAGACTTGCAACATGATAGGTTTCATATTACCGATCTCCCTTTATAATATACAGCCCCTAATAGTCACATTGATAGCGTAATTCAAGTCATGACAAAGAAGTGTGAACTAAATTCTAGGTGCTAGATGTGCATCAAGAGAAAGGCAGATTCAGACACACTAACATAAAAGAAACAACTTAGAAAATTGATGATTTTGATCTCTAGTATGATATATAGATAAGTAGTTAGTTAAATAACAGATGCATTATGCAATAAACCATAAGCATGGATTCTAAAATGGAGGCATTTCAGAAACCACACTATAAGACAGCCTCTTAGTAACCTAAGCATCTTCATAAAATAGACTTAAACATGACCATGTATAATATTTGTAGTCGAGTCTGAGTAACATAGCATTAGAGAAGAATATCTCTCCGATGTTAGGTGAAGTTATGGAGGAGGGATTGAATCTTACCTTGTACTTGTACAAGTCTAATTCTAAAAGTAGTATTCTTTCTTTTGTACAAAAAGCTGAACTTGTGAGCCTATACATGATTATTATTGATTACACTAGCTAGTACTTCTAATAAATTAGCCAATCAGGAAAGAAAACTAATCTAAATTTATTAACTATATATGTACATTCGCATTTGACTATTTTAGCTAAAACTTCCTTATATTATATAGCTAACTAAGCACTTTTATTTCTTAATCATATCAAGTTCTATCCTAGTTGAGCAAATTGCAAACACAAATCACTCCAAATCTCAATAATAATCACAACTCACTACGACATACCCTCGAAAATCCTTAGTTGAACAAATTAAACATAACCTTAGCTTAGCTTCTAGGAAGACCTCTATATCCTAAGTCTTATTAAGAAATGAAATCGTACTAGTTAATTAAGCACGATTATTGTTCTCTTACATGTGTATGAAAAGAAGAGGTTCTTCGAAATGATGCTTGCTTTACCAATATGATCAGGTGGAAATGCATGCATGAAGGACAAATAAACAAAAGCCATTAATCTAAGCCTAAATCTAATTATACAATTATGTATGTACTAATTATTTTAAACTACAATTGCATTATTCTAATCCCGCCAACGAAACAGATAAGAAGGGGCAAAAAGTATGCTTAGGAGAAGATTAACAAAGCATAATCAATTCATTAGCAAATTAAAGATTGACATTGAGCTCATCACAAGAAAGAAAAGCACCCTTAATTAAATTAAACAACTTAAGACAAACACTGCAAAATCTATCAACAAAGCTAACAAGATCATATATTATAATCAAAGGACATATTAATTAAAACATAAACATACATAATATACAACAGATCCCCAACAAAAGAGAACTAACATTTTTATTAAATAGAATTGAAAATTAATAAAGTTTAAGACATTAGAGAGACAAGATCAAATAATTTGGCCATTGGAATTATTAACAAATTGGGTAATGTCTCTCATCTGTCCTTAAATTGTCTTATATGCTCCAGCTTAAAGACAACATTAACATAATATAATAAGATTAATTGTTATTAATTATTTGGCAAGAGGAGAAAAATCAATTTAACAAAAAAAAAACAAGATTGACTAATTTTAATTTTAATTACACTAATTTAATTAATTAATTAGGCCTTGGATGGGGGAAGAACTGCATACCAGGCAAGAAAGCATTGAAGCTAGGAGCAGAATATAGGGATGGAGGGTGGTATATATTAGCACCACCCGCCATGGAGGTGGCGGTACCCGTGATATTGAACGGGAGATGATCGCTTGTGGCGATCGATGAGGCCTCACCACCGCGTCTTGCGGTGGTGGGGCCTTGATCATTGAGTACCCCTTTGAAAACATGCCCTCCTATTGTAATTGAGGTTTGATAAGCATATTGATCCACCACATTATCCTCTGAGCTAACCCGAATGCATCGAAAAGTCGCCGAGGAATTCACTTCTGCCGGAAAATTCCCCCCTTCTAGCCCTGCAACAATTATCAACAAAATTAAAACACTTCCACAAATAAACCTAGACAATTTTTAAGTCATGAAGATAACAAAAAATGATTATTATTAGGGTTTTGTGGGAATAGTGAATGAATAAATAAAATTGGAATAAAAACAACTTATTAATTGATAAGATTCCAAAAATTGTATAATAAGATGTACTTACTATATAAATGTAACATGAAGCTAGATCTAAATAATTTAGCGTTGTTACAAAAGAAGGGAAAAAAAATCAAGTGTAATAATTTTGTCAAAAAGAACAAAAGAAATTTCAAAGAAAGAAAGGGAAAGATAGAGAAAGGAGGTACAATAATTAGGGTTTACTCATGAATAGTACTTCTTTTAAAGAATCATAAGATTCATAACATAGCTACAAAGCTACTAAAATAAAAATAAAAATAAAAAAAAGCTAAAACTCAAGAAAAGGACTAATCTTGTTTCAAAAAAAAAAAAAAGAAAAGGACTAATCTTGACCTAGCTATATCACATACCAAAAAAACAAAAAACACCCAAAAAAACCAAAAAATAAAATAAAATTTTCAAAAATGACAAAATTAAAAAAAAAAATGTGAAAAATAATTTATTACCAGCTGAAGTAGGGCTATGATGATGAATGTTTGAAAGAGAAAGAGGTAAAGGAAGGTATTGATTATAATGATCCATAGTATTCGACGAGGCGAGGCGGCCGTGTTGTTGATGATGTTGTTGCTGTTGTTGTTGTTTTTGACGCCTTCGAGCAACCGGAACCCAAGTGCTTTTAACATGAGTTGCACATTGAAAACCTCTACTCTTACAACAAGTTCTGCATCTCATATGTTCACAATCTCTCTTTGCTTTGTTTCCACAATCTTGACAACTTGTATTAGTACTACTACTTCCTCCACTTGAGGATCTCATCATCCACAATTTATCACTTTTTCTTTAAATTTTGTTCTACTTTGCGGCTATTACTACTACTACTATTACTACTAGCATCGATCGAATGAACTAACCCACCATTCTAGCTATGTATATATAATATGTCACGATTCTATTCGTGCATTTTTATATAATAACAATAATAACAACAACGGATACAGACACAAATATGGAGACAGGTAACGCGTGGTGGATCATTGGGGTGGTGGGATAATATAAGATCTAGGATTTACTATTGTAGATTATTTTGAAGATAAGGTTTGTGGGTAATTTTTTTTTTTTTCTTCTTTCAATTTAACTTTGGTTAAATTGTTGTTTAAAATGAAAATTGAATTGATCTAAATTTAGTACTGTGTGAGAATTGAAGTATGTTGATATAATTGTGGGATTTATTTACTGTGGGGAACATAGGAAATCTATGAAAATTTCAATCATAATCTAAAATAATAGTGACTGAAATAATAAAAATAATAGTATGCAATAATAATAATAATAATAATAATAATAATAATAATAATAATAATAATAAGTGATGATCAATATTATTATTATCATGGTTAAGGTTTTAAGATAGAGGAGAGAGAAAATGGAAGAAGATAAACATAGTCACAGTCTCCAAAGAGAAGCAGAACAAATAGTACTTACTCTTTTAGAACAGTAGCATAAAAACTCAGGTTGCTAGCTTTTGGCTTAATTTGCTCTTTTTAATTTCATTTATTTTTTATTTTTTATTTTAAAATTTATGTAATAAGATGATTTTTGCTTTGTTTTGTTTTGTCCTGTTTTTCCGGAAAAAGTCTGTGTGTTTTTTTCCTTTTACTTGACCCTACGTAGAGACGAGGGGGTGAACAAAATAAGCTAGTGAGTGTTTGAAATTGAAATTGTTCTTCCCCAACTCTATTATAAATAACCCTATTTAGTTTTTACCCTATGTGTTAGGATAGGTGGTGATAATGTAGCTTTTTGAATGTTTCAAATCGACAATTTTAACCGTTTATTATTCATAAAAGTTGTAATTTTTACAGGTGTACCTATGAAAGTATCACGGTAAAAAAAATTCTTATTGATGAGCGTTATGTCCCGCCTATTCCTCCTTGATTTTAAAAAGGGAGGAGAATTGAAATTAAACTTTGAATTCTCTTGGGTGCTTTTTTTTTTTTTTTTTTTTTCAATTTGGCTTGGGTTTGTTTAGCTATTTAGGACTAGCCGACTAGGTAGGAATTTATTTTTCTTTGTGTCGTTTTCCTCTCCGCAGTCCTCAGATTCCTCATTGTATTCCTATCTTTCGTTTAACCCTACTACTCCCATCTTACAAATCATACATAATACATAGTACTTTTTTGTTATCAGTCAAATTTTAGCGCATAAGATTAAATTTTGTTCTCTTATATAAGCAAAACGTACATAATGTGACGTATTTAAGTATTCTATTTGAGTTATGCTTGAAACTCTCTCAACTTCAATACCCTGACCACCATAAACTTTTAGTGTTATAGATTATCATCGATTTTTAAATGGGTAACTGTAAGCCCTAGTTTTCAGCTATATGTGAGTCTTCACATATTTCCAAACACAAAAGTTGACACAAAGTATTAATTGAAATTAATTAATTAACTTCAATTTAAATACGACGTCACATGACATTCTATAGATTTCCTAATTTTAATCATAAGTTTAAACATATGTTACAACTGAATTACTGAATACATTTCATTTACCAAACAAGCCATTAAGATAAGAATTTCATTAACGTAACATTAATAATATAGAATAATATCTTCCAACAAATAACAAAACTTCCTAACCACAAGTGTTGGTTGGGTGATTCCCTAAGCAAGAACAGTAGAATTGAGTACAAATATGCTCATAGTTTAAGCTGAACAAAAAGTAGATAAAAGAGGTACACCAGTTTTAATGGCAAGTCAAGTTCAACCCTTCTACTTTTAACAGATTTAAGTTTAACTGCTTCTCTTTTCCCCCTTAAAAAAGGCGGTCTCAAAGGCCCCATTAGCCAATAATATCGTGCCACCTTTACATGAAAAAAAAAATGGTAAAGACAACAAAGACGACAACAATTTCTAGAGTATAGAGTGGAATTTCCACTAATTTAAGCTAGATTCAGGGTATACGTGCTGCAGAGGTGGATTTTTAAAAGAAAAAACATTCCTGACTAATTTCTAAACTTAATTTTATTTAATTCTCAAGGAATCAACGTACTCTTAACGTTCCTTCATTTGTTATTTTACTTAGAAATGTACAACTTTAGAAAACGTTATTATGTTCATTTGTTATTTTACTTAGAAATTTACAACTTGGGAAATGTTATTATGCTATATACCCCTATATTCATTCACTTAATAACATTGCATGTTACACATCGTACGTGAGGAATACAATGCTACATGTAGACTATACATGGCTGGTGAAATAATAATCTTTAGCATGACCGGAAAAGGACAAATGCCATAAATCTTAGCTTCACCCTTGAGCCAAATTTTGTTGCGGCTATTCAAGTTGAAAGTTCTATATATATGAAATATGAAGTACTCCGTAGAAGCATAAGTAGTTGTTTGATTGAAAAAATCATAAAAAGTTGTATTTTATAGCAAAGTTTGTTTCAATCTCACAAAACAAAGAAATTTGATCACCTAAACCCTCTTGTGGCCTTAAGTACGCATTTCCATGAGAATTTAATTATAACCAACCGAACTAATTGGTATACTTCACTTGAACTAACTAATATGGAGTATTTTATTTGTTGAGCCAAACTAACATGTATTAAGAAAAACGAATAATCGTGTTACACTTTCTAAGAAATGGTAATTGGACATTTTACATTGAAATTTACCACATTAGCAACTCAATAATCATGAGCTTAAAAGAGGTGAGATTGATAGATTTACTACATTGATCTCTTACTTAATTCAAATGCCTTTCTCTATTGGCAAGTAAACTTGGACATTATTTATTAATTTTAAAAAAAAAAATCCTTAGTCAAATATTCCAAACCTTAAGAATGACAACCATTAACCATTAAAAAGTTGGCACTTGGCATAATATTGAAACCATGACAAAGTTATCTGCAATGCACAGCATGTGAAGAACGGAACCATATACTTTCTACTACTCACTTCTTGTAAATGCGCACTTTCTTTAGCTTGTTCTTCGAAGCCTCCAAATTCTTTATTTTTCTTAACATTGAAACAATAAATTAATAAAGTACTAAAGGTACATAATGATTAATTAAGAAAATTAAATTACACTGTAGATACAATCAACGTGTATTAGTGTAGTCGTATATAATAATTAAACTTGATTTGTATAAAAAAAAAATAGGCCAAAGTTGTAAGGTACAAAGATAGAGACATGTAAAAGAGTTGATTATGATTTCACGCGGATGTATTAGTATTAGTATTAGTAATAGTGTTAGAGTAGTAGTGTTACTTTCATGCACTTTTAATGGGAAATAATACCTTGATTTCTTAATATTAACTTGTCTCTTATTTTGGAACCAGCAGCTTTTCTCCTACTGACTAGGGTAACATACGCCATACAATTTTGTCAATTATGTTTGCACCTTTATATACATTAAATCATCACTAAATATGATAAACGTAATTTAATTAACAGTAATAGAATGAATAAATGTCAGAAAGTTTAGAGTGGTTACCAAAAACAATCGAAGACATGACTACAATTATTGTTTGATTTATTATAACCTTCTAATATTGCTGACTAATCTTGTCCATTTAGGCCCTGTTCATATTTACTTATTTTCAGTTCAGTTCAGTTCCAATCAGTTCAGTTCAGTTCAATTCGGCTCCAATCAGTTCAGTTCAGCTCTTAATTTCCCTCTCTCATAAAATATTCATTTCAGCTTAGTTCAGTTCAGTTCAGTTCAGCTCCAATCAATTCAGTTCAGTAAATATGAACAGGCCTTTAGACTTTTTTCTTTTTTTATTATTTTTTATTTTTTACCGGACATTTAGTTAGTTGACATTACATTATTATTAGTATATAATAATTTAAATTGATCTTAGTATATAATTGAACACAATTAACTTAATTAATTACTACAACGTAGTCTATGATTAAAAAAATGGAGTTTCATTCTCACCAATTCTTCATGTGTACATATGAATATATTATTTATTTTAGTGTTTAGAGTGCCACAAGGATAGATAACGAGAATCGATCATAGAATCTTCATTAGTTATTATGTAAGGTAATCGATCACTCTTAGAAAAATAAAACTTGTTTACAAACTTCTCCACATAATGCGCGCTATTGCTTGCTAATTTAGTGTTTAGAGTGCCACAAGGATAGATGACGAGAATTGATCATAGAATCTTCATTAGATATTATGTAAGGTAATCACTCTTAGAAAAATAAAACTTGTACACAAACTCCTCCACATAATGCGTGTTGTTGCTTGCTATTTCGTTGTTTGCATGTTTTTTACTATGTATTACCATTTTAAGAAACAAATGTTTTTAAAAAAAAAAATTTATTTTGGACATATAGAAAACAACTTAAATTTGTCAAAAAATAAAATAAAATATGTTGTTTAAGGTCTTAAGGAGCAAAAAAATTGGTAATATAAACTTAAGGGCCAATAATTAATGAGATATTTGTAGGAATAATTAGTTGTATAAATGTCCTAAATAGCAGTATCTAGGTACATCGAGTACACGTTCACTTTCGGCGGACTGTCCCTGATTTCGTATATACGAAGATTCAACCATTTGTAATTCACTATTTCTACTACTCGTACTAACCGATCATTCGATATAATAACCTCAACGTGAAAATCATACTTGGGTTAAAAAAAGGGTGTCATGTATGTGTTCGTTCATGTCTTAACACTTTTGTTTACAAGATTTTTATTTAAAAAAAAAATGGAATTTTGTCTTATTTACAGAATTACAGAGAGTATTAGTTATTAATTTATTATGATTAACGACAACTTCAATGGTGCATTTTTGTTGTAACATAGAATAGTTTAGTTTTACAATTAAACCGTGGAGTTGTAATGAGTTATCTAATCAATCAACATAAATTGTTCGACTCTATATATTTAAGGAAGAAAATAAAAAATGAAATTGGTGTAATAATGTTTAATTGATATGTGGGGTCGTATAAACAACATGCTTTACTAGATGTTAACACAAAATAGTTGGTTAAAGTCTTAAAGTGATACTTTACATCAATACGGTTTGCGGTTCTTTTTAAGCATAAAAAATTATGTTTCTTAACTCGCAAGTAAATGAAAATGATTTTTAAAAAAAAAATAAAAAGCCCATGTGGTGAATATAATGTTGCTGAACGTTTAGATTGAATTAAATGTAGATGTTAACTCTCTTGATCGGTTATAGTCTAAAGAGTTGTACTACAGAGTTGATATTGAATCTCATCCAAGTAATTTCATATCCTAATAAAGGACATTTTAAGATTTATAAATGTGTACGATGTACTCCGTATATTTTACGAGTAAGTTTTTAACTACTAAAATGCACTATAACAAAGTCACTCAATCTTTTGTCAAAAAAAAAAAAAAAAAAGTCACTCAATCTCATCCAAGCATATATCAAGGGTTTTTTATTTTTTTTTTCTTCTTTTATTTTTTTTAGTTGCACATAAATGCATAATCGCATTAGTTTGATTGTGTTCTTTTTTTTCCCATCAATTGTGTACTATAATTTACTTTTTTTTTTTAAAAAAAAAAAAGTAAAAATAATTGGTATGAAGAATATAATCAAACCTACCTCGACCCTCACAAATTTTTGGTCCAGTATTTAACTATTTATAGGTCAGGTACTTGGGATTCGAGGGAAGGGTAAGAGAATTCATACCCTCCAATTATCTCACTTGGTAGGATTCAAACCCCAAACCTTTGGAATTTAAGGTAAGAGTCTTAAGGTAATACTTTGTTTGTATTTAAATCTTATTGTATCCATTTTTTTTCCCTAAAACATTATACGCAGTACAATTTACGTAGAATGTAGATTATTGAATGTATATTTTTGTTTTTATCACCAGGTTATCACTTATATACTTATATTTAAATCAAGGAAATAAACTTAATATCTATCCATTATCAAATCCCCAATTGTCACCTCATAAAAACAATTACTCTGTACTAGATTCTGATTGTAGTAAATTTGTTGAGTTTTAACTTTTAAGCACTGACTAACTAACAATGAGGCTTGGTTCAACAAGATTTTAATGGACCTGGTCCGGCCCACTCTACATTCTTGACATAAGAAGGAAACCTTACCAACAACCTTACTAACATTCTTAAGATTGTGCATTTGAATGGCCATTTAGCTCTTCACCTAGCTACCATGTAAATTTTTTACTATATTTCATCTAAAATTACTTGGAGGGTAAAAAGCATTTGGTTGCGCCATAATAAAAAATAATTATAATACTAAGTTAGTATCGTATTTTTTAAAAAAAATTGGATCTTGCTAACCAGTGTCTCAGGGTGTTAGATTATTACTTAAAATAGTTTTAAGTTAGGAATGTATAACAAAATCACACATCAATTGATGTAATTAATGTTAATTTTACTTTAACATTTCCACTTTTAGTTTTCTTATCCGACGCTTTATAAGTGCTTGTAGCCTTTACCCATTTCAAAAAATTACAATACTTGGAAAAATAGCAACAAAAACACAATTACATTAATTAGCCAAGATTCAGGGTCTGTTCACATTTACTTAATTTCAGTTCAGTTCAGTTCAGTTCAGCTCCAATCAGTTCAGTTCAGTTCAGCTCATAATTTCCCTCTCTCATAAAATATTTATTTCAGCTCAGTTCAGTTCAGTTCAGCTCTAATCAGTTCAGTTCAGCTCATAATTTCCCTCTCTCATAAAATATTTATTTCAGCTCAGTTCAGTTCAGTTCAGCTCTAATCAGCTCAGTTCAGTAAATGTGAACAGACCCTCAGTACAATTACTCCGTAGTAAAAAAATAGGACTAATCTTGACCAGCAACAGTTGACTCTGTTCATGAAAAAGTATGTTGAAAAGAAGTAGGCAACAATTGAATCTAACATTAAAATTCAAGTTACAAATAGCAAATGGGCTGAATGCAAAAGACAAATAACACATGCTAATGGGCCACTGAGACACAATGACATGGTACTATTAACTAGCATATTGCTAAAAATGTCTTATCATACAAAAAAAATCCACTAACAATTTATATCAAAATACAATTATTATCAATGCTGGCCATGAAATCATCTCTAAAAGGGTGTTTTTAAGAAGGTAACAGTGTAAAACATCATATCATATCTCCAAGTAAATGTGGAGTCCAAAATAAGAGGTCATTTTCATCAAACTTTTTCTCTTCCAAAGGCCACACACCAAGGATTTGGTGGGATGAGATATGCCATACCACGAAATGTCAATGATTTTTCTTTGTCTAACCACTCGTTTTAGTCACTAAATATAAGGGGTTTAAAGGGGGCATATATGGGGCATTTCAACTAGATGACTAGGTAAAGTCGTGAGGAGGAGACATGAGTGACGCTTTATGTTATAACGAATGCAAGAAATATATGCGACGACTCCATCCCTCCATTTTTTAGAGTCTTTTGTCGTTGATGTGCTCTTCATTTCATCATATAACGTCTTAGCCTTAGAAGAAAAAAACACTATATCACTCAATTTCATGACAGGAAAGAATAAAGCTAATATAAATCACACTTTAAAACACTATTTGAACAATAATTAATCAAATTTAATGGTTAATAATTGTTCACCTTGGCCATCAAACTTGCAACAAGGTATCCAGGTAGGTAGGTAATCATATATAAATATATAATGGTTAGGTGTCCATCTATTGTACATCACTTAGAATGTGACTTACGTACATACATAGATATTTGATGATAGCTCAACTAAATTAAAGTTTCCTATTGGCCAATAGTTGACGTAATTAGGTGAAAGGGAGGATTAATGAAGTATTAACCACGAGATAAGTATATTACATTCCCACTCAATATCTAAACTTTAACTATTAGGTAGAGATTCATGATATGCACGGTATTATACGTAACTCGATCTTACCATTAAGTACTTGTATATAGTAGTAATAGTACTATGACTACTATTATCTTCAAATGGTTCTGCATAGAAGTGTAAAAGTAATAGTGTAATCACGTGTCTAACAATGTCATTAATGCTTATTATTTCTAATTTTGTTACTTATATTATCAAATTTATTACTCGTATAAGTAGCCATAAGTTGATTACATACAGTTATGTTGGGTCTTGCTAACAAGCACCAGTACTCGTTTTAAGTTAGAAATGCATGTCAAAATTGCACACCAATCAATATAATTCATGTTTATTTTTTTAAAAATATTTTCACTTTTAATGAGCGTGATTGTTGACTTTATGTAAGGACAAGTATTTACTTAAATAACCTGAACTATCTTGGTTTTGAGCGTTATGGACTCGTATGAACCATATCTATGTATTCTCGATCATTACATAAACTGGTTGTTCATTCCTAGTTAAGCCAACTAACTTAGAGGTTTACTCGTATTATCGATCGTACAATACCCATTAGCTATTTAGCTGTAATCCTGTTCTTCCTCTTTAAATCCTTTTATACGGAGTAACTTAATTAGAATGGTAGAAACTTCAATCTTGTACACTATTCTAGCAATAATAACATGAGAAATTAATAACAATTGCGTATAAAGTGAAACATGTTGTACACTTGTATATTCTGCAGAATTTAATGTAAGCAATGATCAACTCGTTCCTTTCACGAAACCACCCTACTTTGAGCAAATCGCAAAACAATTTTGTAAAAAAAAAATAAAAATAAAAATAAAAATAAAAATAAAAAATTAACTAATCTATTTCGTGCAATATGCCCATAGCATCCTAATCTACTCGTTTTTAAACGTTGCACATGTTTATCTTTTACATTATTTTCAATCAAATATTTGATCATCCATCTTTCTATAAAATGTGTTTTAAAAGATGTCAAATAAATAATCCAACATACATATGTTTAGATATATTGATTAAACAAAATCGAAAATCCCCTCTTCAAATGAATACTATAAATAGGGAAAACATTAATAGTGAAGGGAATACATCATAAAAGTATTGTTTTACATAATTGTATAGTATAATTCATATTTTTTTGAATTGTTAGGTCTATGGTTGTTGGTCGATAGTCTTTATCAAAGTTAATATTTATATGTGTTTATTTGGTTGATATAAATAAATGTAATAACAGAAAATTTCATAGAAAAATTTAGACGTGGAATCATTTACTTGCAAAATGAAAATTTGCACAACCAAAAACTTCCTAAATCTCAAAATGATGGACTCCTAACATTACAACTTCAATTCTTGTAATCGCCTAATTAAGCACTAACTTCCTAAATCTCAAAATGACGGATTCCCAACATTACAACCTCAATTCTTGTAATCGACTAAACAAGCACTATGAACTAAATGAGTAAAATGACAATCTAACAAACACTCTAGGAGTAATAGACTTTTAAAAATCTTTATCACATACATGTTCTTCACGAAACACCAACCACATTCAATAATTCCAAACAAGTTACCTCCAAATTATAACATTATGTCATCAATAAAAAAGCAAAATAAAGGAAAAGGCCAAGAGATGTCTACACCCACCATTTAGAAACTTATGAAAATGCCAACAAATTGTTACCAACAGTTGAGGAATCTATAAGTCGTAACCATCATAAACTAAAACCACAAATCCAATATCATCGATTTGATCACATAAGCTAAGGTACGGAATTAAATCCCACCTACATTACCAATCGTAAATAACGTATGGAATCAAATCCCGCCTACATTACCATCTTATCGTAATTGAATTCAGCCTAGACCCGAAAAGAATCATATAACATAGGGCCACAATATCAATTGAAGCATCTACCATATTAACATAACATCCAATCATTTTGGAGAAAGATCAATTTATTTACAAGATACTTTGATTACTACATACGAAGTAGACAATTTACTTACAATTTCTTTCCCATGATCATAATCATCCAACTAAAAAGGAAAAGGAAAAGAAAATTACAGAAACATCAACTAAAATTAACACCTAAAATCAATGATAAAATGGTCCAAATTACCATGTTAATCAAGACTATCTTCAGTAAACTTTGAGCCCTAAACCATGCTTACCACGAACACAACCAGGTCGAGTAAAAACACGAGCAGATTTCTTGGATTTCGCCATTTTTCCAAACGAATTCTTCCCAGATTTTATCATCCTCTGTCTCACGAATCGATCTTTAACTTCCCATGGTACCAATTCATCATCCATGCCATACCCACCATCATCATCATCATGAACATCATCATCATCTTCATCATCTTGAACATCATCAGCAGCAGCATCATGAACATACCCATGAAAATTCAAGTTCGACCCATCAGAAAACTCAAAGAACACATCAGGTTTCTCATGATAATCATCACCAAACTTACTCAAATCAACATCATGATTTTGCCCCAAATCAGAAACCCTAGAACATTTCATACCATCATAATCGAGATTCTTGATGACATCATTTGTGGGTTCATTTTCTTCATCATCTTCTTTCGCACCATCATCATCTACCTCAGATGAAGACGAAACAGAGAGAGAATCAATCGATTCAACAAGATCGTAAATGCTTTCATCATCATCAACATCAAATTCAGCCCCAATTTCAAAATCAAACCGATTGACAAATTCCCAGTTGCAGAGATCTTCTGGGGCTGCGATTGAAACAATTGATTGGTTCGCCATTGATGATTGTTGAAGTTTTTTGTGGGTAATTTTTGAAGTAGATGTGAGTTTCTCTCTCTAAAATTTGGTTGCTTATCTATCTATCACAGAAATGGTGGTGTTGCTTGTGAAATGTGAAATGTACTTGGCTTTTTTGAATTTAAATAAAAATGGAATAACCGAATCTTTTATGGCATTAATATTTACGTGTTCCTTGGATTTTGATTGGTCCACGTAGGTAAAGTTGTGCTCATTTCTTATTTTTTCCCCAATTTTTTGGTTTTTTTTTTTACTATTGTACTAGCGTAGGCCAATAGGAGTGTACTACTGTAATGAAATGTTTTTTTTTTTTTTTTTTTTTTTGTTCTAAAAAATAACGTGCAAACGTCTATGAGAAGTCTGAATTTGTTATTTTATTTTATTTACTACGTATTATTTTTTTTCATTAGTACTTGGGCATGGGCCAAGTCGATATGAAGGCCGGTCTTCCTGGCCTGGCCAGTAGTCCAAGTGTGGCACAAATATGGTATGGACGGACACAAATCCCTCATAAGTCCAATGCTAAAGAATTTGCATGCTGATAGGGTATGGATCACGTAAGGACATTATTTTAAAAATTTGTCGCAAACTAATAAGCTAGTTCATGTGTAGGCATATTATCTATAGTCTACTCAAAATTACTTCGTATTATATGGGTTTGATGGGCTAAAATAACATGACATGTGAGTCAGGTTGTGCACAAGCTTTGTTTAAGATTTAAGATAGGGCATGACATAATTTTCTCTTAGGTCATCACAACCTAAAAGTGCAAGACACGGTGCATGTTTTTTTTTTTGGTGTTTAGAGAGCCATCACAAGGGCAGAGATGCGAACTTCTGAAATCGGGAGGGAAGCACTAACCACTTGAGCTATCCTTCACTAGCCACTTGAGCCATCACACGGTGCATGGTATGTGAACTTATATGACATGCTTTACCTCCAGCTTGCCAAAAGTACTCCATATTCACTATCTCTTCCATAATGATTTTTTATTTATTTTTTATTTTTTTTGTAAAATAATTGCTGAAGAAAGGATAGCGAGTGTGAGAATTACATAGGAAACCCTCCTCATGAGTGAAAATCCTTAGGTAACGCATACATTAGAGTAGGTTTATAGTTTTTTTTATGTGTATTGAAAAAGTCACCGATACAATAATGTAGACAAGATTTGATCTCATGTTTTGAGTATCACCTCAATAATTTAGTGTTGTCTCAATTAGAGAATACAAAGTATAACAAATAGTCAATTTACTTACTAATTAATAATTATACATAGATATTTTTTTACTTGTTCTTTTTCTTATTTTATTTTTTTTTCACACTTTTACCAAACCTAAATATCATAACAGGGGAAAAAAAAAGAAAAAAAAAAAAAGGGACTTTCATGTAGAATGCCAAGTTGCCAAGAAACCAAAACCCTTGTTAACCCCAGAGATGCTCTTCAATGGAGGAAGAAGCTAACTACTGAGTAAGAGAGAAATTTAGGGTTTAATCGATCACTATGTTTGTCACCGGAAATCTTCAAAGACAATCTCTCAAAACCCTAACTTCTCTTCTCAACAACAACCCCTTTTTTCTAAGAAATTCAATTTTTTCTTCAAATGCTGGAATTCAGCAAAATAGTTCATCAATCTTCAATACATCTTCTTCAAATTCATCAAATTTGTATTTGGGTTTCAATGGTTTTCGACGATCGATGTCGACGGCGAAAGGGCGGAGTATGAGGAGCAAAGTAGAGCGAAGAATGCAGAGAGAAGCTGGTAAAACTCAAAGGCAGATTCGTCAAGCTAAGAAGATTAAGCTTAAGCTTATGACTGAGGAAGAACGCCTCATTTATAATCTTCGAAGGGTATTTTTCTTTTCCCTAATTTTTTGATTTTATGAGAAATTATTATTGTACTTTTATTCTGATGTAGTCTTGAAGCTCTTAAGTCTTAACTCCTCGTAATTAAGGATATGACATGATTCGGCTCGATGACCATTTGTAGTAGTTGAAATAGTAGTGATATGATTAGGAAATGTGGCATCTTGAAATAGTATATGTGACTATTATTTACGGGAGTTGCATACTTGGCTTTGTGTAACATAAGTTGTAGTGATTGTCATTGCCATTTTTACATTGTTGATTATGTCAATGCTTTGAATTTGGGGGCTAGTTATGGTGGAATTTGGCAATTTGCTATTATGTTGTATGGATTTGGGAATGTGGGGTTAATTAGGATTGCTGGGGGAGGGGGGTGGGAGGATTTTTTTTGCGATACATTTGTCGTACGCAGTTTAGCAGATAGTAGGGTAATTGGAGAGTGAAATGAGGTTATTCATCTGTCTAATTGTGGAAATTTAATGGTATAATTGTAAGTTGTAACCATGATGAAGCTATTGGAGTAACAGACTGTAGAAATGTAAAAAGTTGGAAATGTAACCATGAGTTTATCAGTCCCTTGGAAATTTGCTGAAAGATGAGTTCCTTTCTTGTCATAAGCCCATGGAAATCCTTCAGCTGATATTAAAAATTGATGGGATTAAATTGGCTTGTCCTATTTTCACTTGAACTTAAATACCGAATTTCACTTAGGTGAGGTAGTTGAAGCTTGAACAAAAAGTCAAAGAATGTGATGATATTAAACATTTAGGCTATAATGCTAAATGCTTTACCATACTCTCCCAAACTGTTGGGTATCACCATATGGTCTGGTGAATCCTTGTTTGGAGCTCTCCTATTTTCATCTGTCAGAAATTCACTTAAAATGTATGATGCAGACGTGTAGTGTGTGCTATGTTACTAGATTGTTTTCTGAACTAGCTGGTTAAATAGAATATTTGCTTGCATCTCCTGAATCTAGTGATTTCTGACTACTGGTTTTGGTTATGATGATCTGTTGTTTCTCTGGATCATGTTTGTTGCAAAGTTACAACTATTGTCATTTCGGCTAACACTTGCTTTGTTCTTTTTACCTTAAAGGCAATGAAAGGATTATGCTCAGATTAAGTTTATACTATAATTACAAATAAGTGCTTCTCCAAGTTCAATTTTATAATCTCAGATTAAGTTTATACTATAATTACAAATAAGTGCTTCTCCAAGTTCAATTTTATAATCTCAGATATATAAGGTGTAATGAGTTCAAATAAGCCCCATTATGTTCAGATTTAGCATATTCAGGTGAAAAGATCAAAGCCTTGTGCAGTTCATAAATCACTGGTGTTTTCTGAAATTCCTTTGTAACCACCACCAGGAAGAAAAGAAAAAAAAAGCTCCTTCTACAATGGGGCACTGCTCTACGCAGTTCAATCAAATTATGACCTTGTATCAGTTTTGCACAAAATATTAAATTTCATCATATGATTTTTTTGCATAAATACTTAATATCATCATTGGTCTTTAAATGATGCTGCAGGCTAAGAAGAAAGTTGCATTGCTTCTGCAAAAGCTCAAGAAGTATGAGCTGCCTGAGTTGCCTCCACCAAGGCATGACCCAGAGCTGCTGACAGCTGAGCAGCTCCAGGCTTTCAAGAAGATTGGCTTTAGAAATAAAAACTATTGCGAGGTTGGTGTTCGGGGAGTCTTTGGTGGAGTTGTCCAGAATATGCATCTTCACTGGAAGTTCCACGAGACTGTGCAAGTTTGTTGTGATAACTTCCCTAAAGAAAGGATTAAGGAGATGGCAACAATTCTTGCAAGGCTAAGTGGTGGTATTGTGGTTAATGTACACAATGTAAAAACTATTATTATGTTTCGTGGTAGGAACTACAGGCAACCCAAAAATTTGATACCTGTCAATACCCTTACGAAGAGGAAGGTATGTGAATCTAGTTTTGTTGTTGTTTTCCAGATCTACATGGTTAGAGTTGCCTATGGCTGGTCATTTTAGAAATTTTGTGTCTTGATTGATACGTATGTTACTGGCTAGTGCCTAGTGGCATCTACCTCCTTCCCCTGAGCTACCTTGAGTTGATGATGAGAGTCTCAAGTAGGATGGTCTTTATATGCGTGGCCTTGAAAATTGAAGCCACATTCACCCCTTTTGTGGAACTTCTATCCTGAATTTTTTTCATGTGCTCATTATGTCCTATGAGGGCTGTCATTTCTTGCATATTGGGTTTGTGTGTGTGTGTGTGTGTGTTGGGGGGGGGGGGGGCATAGCTGCAATTCCATTGATGGAGTTCCTTTTTGTAAATTTTAGTGCAATGATATAATTTCCATTGTTTTAGTCCATCTTCTGGTGGTCTAATTCAAATTTCCTAAGCCTGGTCTGGTTTACACCAATATATTGTAAAAATTATAATCAAGCGGGGTCTTTTTAGATGTCTTAATGTGTATATTCCAAATATCTAAATTTTCATAATATTCAATAATATGGTTAAGAATTTGGCAGTAATCTAATTATAAAAATGATGATCCACTCTGTGTCCTGTATGATTTTAAAAAATAAGATATATGTTCCAAAATAAGTTGAAGTGAACACTGCCTAGTTGCCTGTTTTTGCATTTGTCTTCCACTGGAATTTCATGCTAATGATCTACATTTTGGTTGGCAATTGCAGGCTCTCTTCAAGGCAAGATTTGAGCAAGCACTTGAATCTCAGAAACTCAATATAAAGAAGATTGAGCAGCAGCTTCGCAAAAAGGGAATAAGCCCGGATGATCCTGTTGCCATGGCAAGTATTCAGAGGGTAGCATCAACATTCTTTAACGCAATTGACAAGAAGGAAGGGAGCCCCTATGTCTTCCGTGAGGCTGAAGAATCTGTGAAGCAGCCTCTGAAAAGATCAGAACACTCTGATCCTTCTGAGGATAGTGATCAAGAAGAGCTTGACAAATTTATAGCGGAGATAGAGGATGCTGTTGACAAGGAATGGGCTGAGGAGGAGGCTGCAGAACAGGAAGAGTACGGAAAGATAAGGTACCGGAACAAGGAAGAGTATGGTGGAAGATTCAACAAACCAGAGCGCTTTGTAGATAATTTCTCCGATGATGGAAATAAAGGTCGAGGTAGAGGTATGATGGATACGCATCGAAGGCAAAGAATAGAAGACAGTGAAGATGAAGATTCTGCACCTATTGAAGAAGATAGCGCAAGCGAAGATGAAAGGCAGGCTTATGATTCTGATGATGATAAACTTAAACGCCGACCATCCAGAGTTGAAAGATGGAATCCAGAAAGGTCAAGAGGATCACATGGAAACCAAGGCTTCAAGCAGACCAATAATAGAATTACAGGAAAGATGTCTGAAGAGGAATCTGAGCCAGAAAGTATGTTTGAGGACCTAGATGATGTAATGCGTGAATCTGATAGTGAAGGGGGACATACACCAAGACTACCAAAGACCCCAAGAAATGAATACCGTAGTGGCCATAGCTCAGATAGGAGAGAGAGGAGCAGTAGGGTAGATGGTGCAGGTTATCCTGCAATTGATAGTGATGACTCTGATGAAGGTGACAAAAATCCCAGGTTTAGAGATAGAACCAGAAATCAGGACAAAAGAGGCAAGGCTGATAATATGGGCAGAAAATGGGGGAGTGATGGTTCTGATATTGATGAAGATTTTATTGAATCTGAAATTGCCATGTATGGATCAGGTGATAATGATGATGATGATGCTCTCGAATCCAGCGCTCTGAGAGGAGCCGATGAGGACTACAACAGCTTGGGTGGGCTGCCACATCATCATGCCAAGGTGGAGGATAACAAAACCCCTAGGAGAAATCAAGTGTCTCGAAAACAGAATGATGATGAACTTTGGGATAGTGATTGAGCCCGGTAAATGTGAGTCCATCAGTGATAGCATCAACTATTGCAGTCCTGGAGTAAAACTGCATTTCAATTCGAGAAAGGATACAACTTTCAGGATGACTCGACTGTCTCGTGCACTGAAGATGGAAGTACTGCATGTGAAATATCGCATTGCCTGTATAGGGCTCTGACATAATCATGAAGTACAATATACAGCACCTCTTCCAGAATCCATACATAATACGGGCTACTGTACTTGGGTAAGTAGAATTTATAACTATGATATTCATACGAGCTCATGACATTTCATTGTGTATTCTGCTCATGTTAGGGGTGTTAGTGGTTAGGTATCTTTTTGAAGGTAAACTCATGTATCAGTGAAGTGTATGTGTGTAGAAATTCACAATGTAGCTTGCCTTTATTTTGTGTTGGTTTGAAGGAATTTTCCATGTAGCTTAATTTAAAGAAATAATGATGTTGCTTTTGCCACAAATTGTATTTGTACATTATCCTGGATGCTGTTACTGAACTTGAAAACTTGTTGGGTTTCGATAACATTTGTTAATTCAATAACATTTGTTAAGCTCTCTTTTTTGTTTTTCCTCATTTGTTTCTACTATATGAATGTGATATCTATTTTGCAAACCTGTTGGTTTTATTGACATGAAAGTGGAATACAATACACTACTCCCTCCGTCCACATTTACTCACATTAATAGTGTAATATAAACAAGTAACCAACTAATTCGAACAGAGAGCAATCTCAGAGGAAGGTAGCTTAACCAACGTGAGGAATTACCACAACATTTCCTGCATTATCAGTCCAGATCCAAACTCGACTGCAAACATAGTCATGAGTTACAATAGCCGTTTGCTTCTTGATGATCGCCCTTACAAAAGGATTCTGTGTCTCAATTATCCTTTTCGCGACTTGAGCATTTTTCCCTAGTAATTCTGGCCAGGCATTCTTTCCTGCATCATTATAAGAACCTTCATTAAATCATTAGATTTAGTTTAACCCCGTAAAAATCAAAATCAAAATCAAAATTGTAGACCCAAAAAATATAAGTAATAATCACCTCTACAATAAATTTCCATCTCAACTTTTTAAAAAAACAAGGCCGCTGTTGCTTAAACTCTGAAAGTTTATTTTATAAATTTTAGAGCTAATTATGTGTATGTTGTAAAAAAAAAGGGTACAAAAATGCTGATTTTATAGAGGAATATTGTTGTTTATCGGCATTTACTAAACTTTGGACACACTTACGAAGTATTTTTTTTTTTGAAGAAACCATATTTGATACTTATGTATAAACTTATCTAAATTATTTTTATTTAAATTTGGATTAATATGATTTTTTTATTTGACTAAACTTTGACCATATTGAAAAAAAAATTATCAAATGAAATATCGTGAAATTTGTATTACACGAAGTATATATACTTACTGATAAGAAAATATAATAGAGGGGTATGGTATACTTCCTCCGTTTTTCTTTTATTGCACCATATTGACTTTTACACTATTCACTTAATCTCCTTTGACCATCTTTTACAAAGTATGATTTATCCATTAGGAAAAACATAGTCACGTGAGATCTAGTTACATTCGTCTCGAAATCTACTTTTCAAATATCAATTTTTAATAATTTTTACAAAAGTATAATTAAAGATATTAATAGCCAAAGTAATGCATTGGCAAGCGTGAAACCCCTTATAGTGCAATAAAAAAAAACGGAGGACGTATTAGATATTCCGATCTAGTTATTGGTAAATTAAGCAAACCATGGCCTAATTTAAACTCCTAATAAAGTTAAAATTTAAGATGTAATCTTTTGTTCAATGGAATCATTAACATATAGTTTTGTACTATTATAGGAAAATAAGAAATCCTGGACTCGTGTTTCATGTATGGATTATTTTATTATCACTTGTTAAACGTAAAAGAAGATCCCAAAAATAATGATGATGGTTATGAATTGTATGATATCTAGTCATTTGATCATGGATATTTTTACCAAATATTTTTTGGCGTTCATCTAAAATCATAGACTACGTACACAAATTGTTGGCGTATAACTTGATTATTGTTAACACGTTGATAGCCATATACTCACATTAGTGTACCACAAGTTATTAGGTTACCCTTATGGTAGCACCACATCAACGAACGCACGTGTTACTTGTGTATTAAAAAATTATAACGAAAACGAGCAATCAAATACTCATTATACAATAATAATATTGCTACTATAGTTTTATTTATTGATGAAGGTAGCATTACATAATATTTCAATCAAGGAGATAATGAACTTAATCAGCCAACTTTAGGTACAAGGACAATAATTCCAGCATCATTCACCCAAATAATAACCCTATCACAACGATGATCATGGATATAAAGATTTTTAACATTATTAATGACTCCCGTCACAAGTATGTTCTCACGCTCTACCACTTTTTTACCTTCTTCACCACTTTTTCCTAGCAATTTAGGCCAGAAGAGTGGATCACCTGCATCAATATATAAATAAACATATCGTTAGTTAGTCGTTTTAAATTAACTAGTACGTGTACGTCCCTCCCTCCGCTTCTTTTTGTTCTTCGTATTTAGAATTATTTTGCCAAAACAAAAAGAAGCAGAGGGAGTAATTCGGCACAAATGAAAAATGAAACAACATAAAAAGATCACATAAGAATTGAAGAGAAATAAGTAATGAGGTAATTACCCTCACACTTATCTTGTGCCATTTTTTTTTTTTTGAGAAAATTAAAGTTGAAAATGTAAATTTGTGTTTTTTGTTCATAGAAGATTAAAAGAGGGGGTATTTATAGAAGCATTTTGGATGAGGTTATGCCTAAGATAATATTAAAAAAAAAATATTTCTTGCTTAATTATTAAAAATATTGTAGGAGATGAGCTCATAAATATGAACTTTTAATTACAAAGGATTTATTCCTTAATCTGTATATTATTTTTTGTAAATGCGGTTGATTTGATGCGGAGTATATATTTTTGTATTGCTCTTGTTTAAATTCCCCTTATTTCTTACTTTGGGGCTTTGGATACATTGCTCATACAAGTAATTGTATTATCTCTTCTATGAGCACATCTTTTATAATGTATATAAAAGAGATTAAGATACCTTGTATATAAAATTAAATACTCATTTGAGCAATGTATCTTAATCTTAATATAGGGTACCTAAATAGAATTATACATTGTTCATACAATTAATTGTATTATCTTTATATACAAGGTATCTTAATCTCTTTTATTTAGGTGCCCTACATAATTTTTTTTTTTTGAATGGAATAGGGAGGGGTAATTTCATTAAATAATAATAGCCATTCGGCACTTACAATTATCCCTTAAGATATCTAAATTCTCAATACATGAATTAAATACCCCTAAACTAATGACATCGCTTCTGAACTGCTCCTGGATAATTTTAGATGTCTTTGCATCGTTCTTGACCGAGCTCCATTGATGTATAGTCGCAAAAGAGGTATAACTTGATTGATCATCAAGATCTGCAAATTTATCAGACGAATCTTCTAAATCTGCACCCATATACCAACAGACGCGCAATTCCACAAATTTACAAGATGAATCTTCTAAATTTATATCCCAGCACCCACTAAAACCAAACAAACAAACAATACTAAACCCTACATGGAGGGACTGATTATAATCACCATACTGATGGTAATCTTTATTGGCCAAAAAAATTAAATTAAAGAAGAATTTGGGGCTTACCATCGATAAAAATCGATGGCAGCCCCTAAGTTTTAATATGGTGGCTAGGTTTGAAGAGAGAGAACATAAATTTTTTTAGGGTTTTTGAAGAGAGAGTAGGTGCCCTACATAATTAGTATAGCTATAGTGCGTAATGATAATAATATTAAAATATATTCAGTAACATTTGCTCTAAGACTTAAATTTGTTAGCTTTCTTGAAATGTTATGGATGTTTGTCATTACAATTTTTAGTGAGACAAGATAATGTCAGATCCAAATAGATGAAATAGAAGTGGTTGTTGACTAAGTAAGGTTTTATTTTTGAAACAGTCCAAAAAATTAGTGAAATTTGGTAGATTAATGAAAAAAAATGATAATAAGGTCCAATTGATTAAAAAGGTGAATAAACAAAAAGAGTCATTTTGCAGTTTTTAGCCACTCTAAAACCCCAACTCTATCTCTCAATTCTCATGCACTTTTTTTTTTTTTTTAAATAACTCCCATAACTCCAAATAATTAATTTATGAAATTTTTTTTATCGTAACTTCCTTTTTTTTAAAAAAAAATCTATAACTTTCACTTATACTAACTTTTTTTTTTTTCACATGCATTAGCATGGATACATCCGGCCCATACATTAGCATGGATATATCCGGCCCATGCATTAGAATGGATACGTTCTAGCTCAAGAAATTCCCACTAGAATAAAATAGTGATGAAATTTGGTTGTTCAAAGTGAAAACAAGTAAAAAAAACGTGAAATAAAAAAAAATTAAAAATAAAAAGCAAGGATTAGGAATTGAAACTATAATTTGAGACTACAATTTTTTGCCAAAATAATAATGATAAATTAGTACTTCCTTCAATCCTTCAATTGATTAATTCCTCTTATTTCACAATATTAATTAAGAGTTATGTTGCATGACTTGTAATTTTTATCTTACATGCTGGAAAAAAATAGGTCTAAAAAAATTAAACGAGGCAATCCAGCTTTCAGTTATGAGACAGACAAGTTTTCAAATTAAAAAAAAATAAAAAAAAAAATAAAAAAAAAAAGCTGATTTGGGTGAGTCAAAACTCTTCTAAATGCTTGGTTGAACAGAAATTTTCAAAAATTCTACCAACCATGAGAGTTGGAGTCTTGATAAACGATGCAAGTGGTACAATTAGGGTCTATTCTCATTGACTGAACTCAGCTGAACTGAACTGCATTGAACTGAACTGAACTAAAATGAATATTTTATAAGAGAAGGAAATTAGGAGCTGAACTGAACAGAACAGAACTGAACTGAATTTCAATGTATGAGAACAGACCCTTCATCGGTTTTCATAGGCAGCAAATACTTCAAAATTTATAACAAAAATCTAATAGGGGAGGTGTGGGTTGAGTAAAATCTCCAAATTTCTGCATAACTGAATGTTCAGACCTCGTTGTACCTATTTAATTCAGTGGCGGATCTTGAAACATTTTTTATCGGGGTCCAAAATTTTTTAACATCTTCTGTTATGCATCATAGCATTTCACAAATATTAAAGACTTCGTACCAAGCAATTACTGATCAGTTTGACTCATATTAAGGCTGGGATGTGACAAAGTTTTACACTGGCTGTCACTGGCCTTCCAAGTAAACAAGGAAAATATACATGATAAATTGACTCAATTGCACAATCAATTTTAGCGTTTATAATCATTTATGATTTGTAGTGTCTGAATTTATACAAGTATAAGATATACATAGTACTCCGCATACAGTTTGATTCAATTTTTTTTTTAAACATAACTAAAGAATTTCAATACCATATGTTGAGTAAATTTTGATAACATGAATTGACAATCATTCACAAATTTTGATAACATGAATTGGCAATCATTTACAAATTTACTTGCAAATTGCAATAGTGTTGCATGCTCATAGAGATAAGAGAGAGGAAAGTCATTAGTAATAAAATAGTACTCCCTCCGTTTTTTTTTTATATGCATCACTTGCATTTACACGAAGTTTTAGGAAAGTTATTTGCTTCAGTATTATATTGTGCAAGTGGGGCAAGTGGATGATTAATTTATTTTGATAAAAGTACAATGTGGGTCATGAAATAGATAGTATGTGAGAGAGTGAAATAATAAAATATTTTCAGTGGGGTATTTGAGAAGAGAGAGAGGAAATAATAAAATATAGTATAAAGTTACCAAATATAGAAGTGATGCATATATAAAAAGCACCCCTAAATAGAAAGTGATGCATATAAAAAAAAAAGGAGGGAGTACTCCGTATAAGTTAAGTGGCCCACTTATCATTATTAGCTGTCAGATTATTATAAGAAACTCTATCTTTTACTAATACGTACACTTCTTATTTTATATATAAAGCTTATGCATGTGGCAGTTGGGGGGGTTGATATTTTCTTGTTTTGGGCTTCTTTGTCAAACGGTCCAATATTTTTATTTCAAAAACCTTTCAGGGGCTAAGCCCATGCGAGCCTCAATGAAGGTCCGCCTCTGCCTATTATGACCATATCTAGTTTAACATGAGCCCCTTGGCCATTTCTGTCTATCAACATCTAACATGAATGACCAAAAATCAAAATTCCAGAGTTTATCATTTCTGAATTCGTAAAATAAACTAAAGGTAGAAATTTTAAAAAAAATTGACATCACAAAGCAAGTTAAGAAACATTCATTCGATGATCACTCATAAAACGTACAAGAAAATCCCTAATACATCTGATGATGGTTGTGAATTGTGTGATATCTAGTCATTTGATCATGGATATTTTTACCAGATACATCTAAAATTGTAGACTACGTACACAAATCGTTGACGTATAACTTTTATTGTTTACATGTTGATAGCCATATACTCACATTAGTGTACCACAAATTATTAGGTTACCCTTATGGTAGCACCACATCAACGAACGCACGTGTTACTTGTGTATAAAAAAAATTATAACGAAAACGATCAATCAAATACTCATTATACAATAATAATATTGCTACTATAGTTTTATTTATTGATGAAGGTAGCATTACATAATATTTCAATCAAGGAGATAATGAACTTAATCAGCCTTGTTTAGGTACACGGACAATAATTCCAGCATCATTCACCCAAAGAACAACCCTATCACAACGAAAGTCAGGAATATAATAATCTTTAATATTAATAATGACTCCCGTCACAATATCGTTGTCATGCTCTACCACTTTTTTACCTTCTTCACCACTTTTTCCTAGCAATTTAGGCCACCAGACTTTGCCATCTGCATCAATATATAAATAAATATAAACATATCGTTAGTTAGTCGTTTTAAATTAACTGCTACGTGTATGTCACTACCTCCGTTTCTTTTTAGAATTGTTTTGCCAAAACAAAAAGAAGCAGAGGGAGTAATTCGGCACAAGTGAAAAATAAGACAACATAAAAATCATATAAGAATTGAAGAAAATTAAGTAATGAGGTAATTACGTTGACACTTCTCCGATGACGACATTTTTTAGAAAATTAAAGTTGAAAATGTAAAATAGGAGGGGGGTATTTATAGAATCATTTTGGGTGAGGTTATGCCAAGATAAAAAATGATTTCTTGATTAATTACTAATTTTGTAGGAGAATCTCGTAATTATGAAATTTCAATTACAAAGGATTTTTTTTTTCTTGATTTGTATATTTTTTTATGTAAATGAGGTCGATTTGATTCTATGTACATATTTTTTGTATTGTTCTTGTTTAAATTCACTTGATTTCTTACCTTTGGGGCTTTGGATACATTGCTCATACAAGTAAATGTATTCTCTCTTCTATGAGCACATCTTTTATAATGTATATAAAAGAGATTAAGATACCTTGTATATAAAATTAAATACTCATATGAGCAATGTATCTTACTCTTAATATAGGGTACCTAAATAGAATTATACATTGTTCATACAATTAATTATATTATCTTTATATACAAGGTATCTTAATCTCTTTTATTTAGATGCCCTACATAATTTCTTTTTCTTTTTCTTTTTCTTTTTTTGAATGGAATAGGGAGGGGTGATTTTATTAAATAATAATAGTCATTCGGCACTTACAATCATCCCTTAAAAGATCTAAATTCTCAATACAGGAATTAAATACCCCTAAACTAATGGCATCGCTTCTAAATTGTTCCTGGATAATTTTAGATGTCTTTGCATCGTTCTGAACTGCTCATATAGGTGAGGTTATGCCAAGATAAAAAAATGATTTTTTGATTAATTACTAATTTTGTAGGAGAATCTCGTAATTATGAAATTTCAATTACAAAGGATTTTTTTTCTTGATTTGTATTTTTTTTTATGTA